CAACTGACTATAATAGTGGCTAATTTAATAGTAATTTGATAAGAAAATTCCATCATTCTATCATTTGGTGATAAAAGATATTTTGTAGAAAATATAAGCACTTCCAATCTTTTCTGTATAGTATTAGTTTAGTTTCGTTTTTAGTGTTGATACATATATTATATCTTCTAAAACACTGTTAATATTTCATATGTTTTATAGGTTCAGAAAGCACGTGATTCAGGTTTAATTTCAGATTCAGTTACAATCAAAGAAATTGTGGCTGAAGCTGAGCGTTTAGAAGTTAAAAGCAAAGCTACATTGGTATTGGCTGAACTATTGTTTGATGATAAAATCCATTTGCAGGTACATTTACAAATTCTATTATGTGCTCTTTATAACAATCATTGATTTTTATGTACATATTAATGTTATTCTTTTTGATTTTAGTTGAAAAAACATCGTGTCTTGTTCTTACGTTTTTGTCATGAGGATCAAAAGGCTCAAAGATATCTATTGGGAGGTATAGAACAAGTTATTGGACTCCATAAAAGTAGTTTGTTGCCAAAAGTTTCTGCTATATTAAAGGTAATTTTTTTCTACATTTAACTGTTATATTTTATTTTTTTTGATCAATTATTATTATTATTTGTAATGTTTAGTTATTCTATGATGCCGACATTTTGGAGGAGTCTGTATTATTAGACTGGGCTAGTAAAATTAGCAAGAAATATGTCTCTAAAGAACTTAGCCAGGAAATACATAACTATGCGAATCAGTTCATTACATGGTTGCGTGAAGCTGAAGAAGAAGAGGAGAGTGGAGATGACAGTGATGATGAAGTAGAGGTAAAAGATTTATTATTTAAATTTAAATGTAATATAAGTTATGTTTTGTGGATGAATTTTTTCCTGATCTTTTGTTTCATTGATATTGTTCATGAATGAAAATTTATTAGTCCTTCTCTATGACCAAACATGGTAATTTATCATTTATTGAAATTACTTTTTTCAGATTGAATATAATGACCGTGTGCATACTAGCACATTAAAAGCAAAACCCGCACCGCCAGTTGCTGTCAAATCCAATGCTGATGATAATGAAGATGATGTTGATATTGATGCCATCTAAAAATATCTTTGTGGAGAGAACATGCAAAATTTAACTATCCAAATAAATCTAGTTTACAATATTCTATAATCAAATATACACTACAAAACCAACTAATTAATTTTCAACATTTAATTTATCGGATTCTAATTTACAATATAATATATGAATATTAAGTAACATTTAAAATCCTTCTTGTATCCTTTGTTTTTTTTAAAATTATTTTTATTTATTTATAATTGATAGGCAACTACAAATATGGTTTACAGAGTGGCTATTCACTATTATACAAGTGTATGATGCCATAAGCTAAAAATGTATTCAATTACAGTAGCCATTCTAATAAAGATTTCCAGTAATTTAAAAATTAATGATGTGACTTTTTATTTTTACCTCCCAGAAACTGAAAATTATATTGTAACACTAATCAGCACAACACACTTGTACAACATGAATTTATGTTTTAAATATTTTTACATATTAATTTTATTCAATACAAATGAAACTACGACGTAACATTGTTATTTTTATTTGGTTATCATAATTTTACTATGTACAAGAATTTCTATAAAACTAATTAACAACATAACTGATAGAAGTTAACTTGATAGAAGAAAATTGTTCTGTCTAGACACCTGACCATCATGCATAATAAAGAATGATTTTAATCAGTAAGACTAAGGACTAAGACTTCTAGTACTTCTAATTCCAATATTTTATATTTTTATCCATCAGTTATTTCCTAAAATCTCTTAGAAAGCCAATGTTAAATAAGCAAATTATAGTTTTTATAAAAAAAAGTACAAGTTAAACCAGAATCAACACGATTTCTTTATAATTGTTTAATATTGTTTTTTCTTATTGTTAAAATATTTACTTTACATATCATATTGAAAGAATCGAATACTTCTAAGTTCTTTGTAACGAGTTAATCTCAGAAGCTGAGTGGCCTTTTTTAAATGACAGGAGTTAAAAACATTAGACATTTTAATAAAAGATTCCCCTCAAATTTGTCTACCTTTAAGGGAATTCGAAACAGTTATTTTTTGTCAAAAAAGTTAACCGAAAAGTTTGGCTATTTATAGTTATGGGATTTTCGATTTGTATTAATTATTTTTTTAATCATTAAATTTGATTATAGGAGAACACGACGTCTCCGCTCAGAATCGTTTTTCATATATAGTGATTTATCATTGAATTAATATATAACAGATGGGCAACTGGCAGCCCATGGGCCGCATCTGGCCCTCGGGCCTTTTTTATCTGGACCGTGCCACATTTTCAAATTACATTATCAATATAATAAATGCTAAATAAAATGTATAATTATTTTTGCTTTCTATACTCTGGCCCGTTTGATTTTAATTTTCTAAAAAATTGTCCTCTAGTAACTTTGAGTTGCCCATCGCTGATGTATAACATCCATTAGATACCTGAGATGTTATGACATATTCGACAACTATAATGTAGAGCAGAGCCATACCCACTTGTCTGCTCTTTAATTATTGCTGCTCGAATATGCGGTCGACAATCGTGAATCATATATTATCATGTACCACGATTACAGATGGTACTATACTACTATCCACAGATAAATTGTGGTTCTATCTTAAATATTATTGTGGTCAGCATAATGTACAATATTACAATAATATTATATATGATTGACGATTGTAGACCGCATTTTCGAACAGCACCGATAGATCATCTTCGCTGAGAATCGTTTTTCATATCCAATATAATATATTAATATCAGAAATATTGAATTCAAATTAAACACATAAAATACAGTGAACCATGCAAGTAGGTACGAGTGTACGACACCTAATGTACCTAAAACCTACAGCAGAACGGTATCCACTACGACACTACTGACCACTGGCTCACCTTTTTTCATTAATAGAATTGTGAACAAGTATTTATGATCAATGCAAAATTATTCCAGAACCTAATTAAAGATCACCAATAATTTATTCATTACGTGTTGAAAATAGATTAGTAACCACTAACCAGTATGATCCGTGTTATAAAAACACTTTAAAAGAATTCTATATATTAATCAAATAATACTCAGCATATAAAGTATTTAAGATATTACTCTGAACTAGCTGAGCAATAGTTGAAACAGAATTTTACAGAGTTTTTCAATTTTCAAATATCACTTGGCCAGTTTGCGTTAGTGATGGGGTTGGGGATAACCCCCTCGCCCAAAATGCAGTTAGTATGACACTCCCTCTGCATTCACTATTATTATTGGCGTGAGGAGTGGGCATGTGATGTAAAAAATGTTACTTAAAAGTGTTATTTTTTGACAATTTTTATTCAATTATCTGTATTTTAAAAATATTGGTCCAAGCCGTTCAAGGACTATAACATCTGGTATATTTAAAAATACTGTGTATTTGGCGGGTTTCTTCCATCCACCCTTGATACGACCACAGAACAGGGATTAAAATACTAATAAATTAATATATTAATCCGTGCCACAGAACAATACGGCAGCTGTTGTAGGCAGGCTAAACAGAAACGAGATGTCAACTTTCTCTATTTTTGATATTGGTGCTACTGTGTAAATAATTTTTCAGATGGAGTTATCGTATCATATTTTGTTGACTGTCTCAATCATAGAGTTGTAATATAGAGAGGCCGTTTCCACCATAGAGTAAATATATAGAGGTGCCGTTCCCTATCACGAACGAGAGCTTCCCAGCAGCAGATTTTTGGCATCCTTATCACGCGCGCGGCACCCCTAGCGATTTGCTCCACAATTTGACTTCCGTGCACGGACTAAGGTATATCTTAGTCCGTGCTTCCGTGATTATCGTAGTGATAAGTGATAACATATTAATGATAATTCCCGGTGTTAATATTTAAAATAAAGCGTGCATTTAAATAGGCACGACATTATAATAATATTTTAACTTAGTTTATAAAATGTACTACTGTCTACTGTTACAAATTTGATAATAATTCAATTACTATGTAGTTAAAATGTAAAATATATCAACAGACAACAGCCTAAATATTATAGCTAACAAATGATTGTATCAAGACATAAAGCACTTCTTTTTTAGAATTTAAATTTGTTACTGCTAATGTCAATAAATAAAATGCATATCTAGTTTAGTTAATACAATATAAACGCTGTATAT